AATATTCTGAATTTGGCTTTAGATATTACCATGACAAAATGTTAACATGGTACTTTTCATCTATTTATATCAACAATACAAGAAGTTGATCAGAACCTTTTGACAGCACAGCATACCAAAAAATATTTGAAAAAAAAAAAGTCATTAGCTTACTCTTTGCCTCTATCACAAGTGGACATATTGTGACAAGGAGTAGATGTCCACTCTGTGAGAATTGGTGAAAACAAGATGATATTTATAAGCCATTGGTTTTGGAAAAGGTCTACAGAAGGATTACAGATATCAGCTTTGCCTGGCAGCAAGGCTCCAGTTAATCTTTGTTTGTTATTAACGGAATCGGGGACTGTTAATTCTGCAATCTTATGAAGGAGGTAGTTGGAGAACCTCTATTACTATGAGGCTAGCATGTGCTATCCCACAGACAGCATTCTATTAAGTTACAGTTCATTGTGGTTTCCCTTAGAACATAGCAGCTGTACCACAAGGAAGATTATCCCTCAAGCCCACCTTAAGTACATCAGAAGGATTTGGGATTTGCTGATTGTTGAACTCCAGCACTTCAAATGGATGTCAACCTGAATGAGGGATAATTTCTAACAAAGAATTTATGTTGCAAGTCAGCTGGTTCGCAGAGCTATTTTTGGACTTTAATTTTCTAAATATGGAGGTAAACATCAAAAATGGATCGAGGACAAACCCTGAAGGGTACAAGGTCCTATGGGGGAGTATTGTACCGTTCTATTTCTTTTTTTAGCACTGTATGTGTAGAATTATGTCAAATTTCTATTACTGTTGCATGAAAGCAGCAGCTATTTAAAATGAATTTAGAAAAAAAAAGAACTTGTACGCAAATGGTACCAGTGGCCAATATGTCATTAGGATGATTATAATTAACCATGAGCCACTTAATAAATTCATTTTAGTACAGTAACATCCTAAGGTAAATTGGACAATTAAGTTACACTATTAAATCTTTCTAAGTATTATATTGATCTGAATGGTAAGTCCATTCTTGTGTCAAATTTCATTAATCCATAAGTGGCAGCAGCACTCCAAAAGGATCTTCTGTGAAAACAAGAATATCTAATTAACCATTCTGTTTGGCTGTTCACATTTGGGGCCAACCAGCAGGAGATAACTGCGATAGCGAGGTGGCAGAAAATCTCAAACTGATCATGAAATCGTCCACAATGGAGGTTGGTAAAGTGCTGAAAATAAACCCTAAAATGTTTAGCACTTCTGCAGACTAATCAGGGTTGCCATGGCAGAGTTGACATGTTGCCAGGGGATCATGAAGCTAATATGGCTGACCATGGTAATCTAAACCCCATCTGTGAGTGTACATCGTTGATAATCACATCAGCATTGGCTGGGGTGCTGGGCTTGTTACAGAGAACAATTGTTCATTGTGTCTGATTAGCTTTTCAGATGTCAGGTTCTTGATGATAAGGCCCCCATATTCAAGTGTCAGTTGTGGAAATGGATTCTACCTACTTTTCTAAATCTGGAATATTAGGTGGAGATTGGAAAAGAAAGGTTGGAAGGTATGGAATGTTGTTTACAGGCAGATATTATTCTCTGATTATGTGTTTATGTTGCTAAGGTGGGCATTCATTACCATGGGTTAAAATGTATTCATTAATAAAAATGAATGATGGTTTATATATTGCATTTAGGCATTTTTATCCCATTAGTCAAATAACTAATTTTCATCAAATCAATGACTTGATGAATGATGAATGTGCAAAAATAAAATCACATATTTTTTTCATTTTCTTTAACTGAAAAGAATTTTTGTAGCTTTTTGCAAAATAAAAAAATCTCATTTTCGTGAATCCAAAAATAAATATATATTTTTTAAACGTCAAGTCAAGTTTATATATTTCACACCACCCTTAAGAGGCTAAAGTTTGTGTTAGAGAGAAGTTTGGTTTGAAACTGTTTGTTGTTTCTAAGGACCAAGAGAAACATTCTGATAAAAAAGGGGGTGATAATGGAATTGTTGACAGTTTCATTGTACTTTTCAGTTCAAAATGACATCCACAAATCTGATTGAATGAAAGATGACAGTTGTTTTAAACGAATTCAATTTACCTTTAATTTATTAGAATTGATAATTAGTTATTCATTGAGTGTGACAAATTAAAAAACAATAAGACCGTCACTCAGAATCATTATGATTAAAACATATTCTTATAAATGTTTGTTTTCCATTTTAAGAAATATTTACAGCTTATGTAATTGTCTTATTTATAGGTAAATTACTGTTCAGCTGTCTGTGTAGGTACCAGACAGCTTAGTCTAATTTAGAAATTGACTAAACACAAGTCATCTTTATTAGAGGTATCAAATCTACATTATGGAGATTTAAGCGTGCCTAGTTGCTAGGCATGGCTTTATAGCTATTTACATTATAGATAGATAGAGACAAGGTGCAATCTTCAGGTCACTGAAAATGGTTCATTTGCGATAGAGACAGATAACATGTTGAATGACACAGAGAGGATAGAAGCCATGAATTGCATAATTTTATATCATGAAGATATGTTGAAATGCAGTGATCAGTTGAGATTTTATCTGTCGGGATTATGCAATTGCTTTACTGTCGGACTACTTACATTCTTTATCCATTGTTATCTTACATGCTCATTTTGCTCTATTTACATTATTCTTCACATGATATAATGTCTAGCTCGACACTTGTGACTGTATACACATGTGACTGTACACAGTTCATAACCTGACAATGCCGGCATTATTTCACTTCTGAATTATTAATGATTTTAATGCAGCTTCATAGCATATCAAGACCCAGCAACAAGAGTGTTTCAGTAGAGATTAATCAGCTTACAGAGTACGCTCACTATCTACATGCCAACAAAGCTGACAAAGGTCTAATATTTAACTTCTTTTAATCCAGTTGGTTGATTAAAATATAGTGGGAAATATCAATATTAGATCAGTGATGAGAGGGAAAAGAAGCTCATGGCATTGTACTGTCGCTTGCTTTGTGAAGGGAACAATATGGTGTTGACTACAAATATTGAGTACAAACAGCTTTTGTATCAGAGGCTGATCAGTTAGTGTAGTGGAATGCAGTGGCTTGTTCGTTTTTTCAGCAGCAAAGATTATTGATCTTGAAGTCTTGAGGGATGATCTAGGGCTTCTGTGGTTTTTTATTGCTGAACAATATGCATAGCTTTCAAATATTCACCCTCTGTTTTAGGCAACTATTGATTAATTTGGAGATTTTGTGTTTTAAAAGAAAGGCTCAATAACTTAAGGCCTAATATCTTATCACTCTATATTTAAAACAGTCTCACATATTCTTTTGAATGAAAAAACATGCAGTAATAGGCTTACACAGACTGTGATGTGCAGTCCGGCTTAACATTGTTTACAACACCAAATATCACAAATATCACAGTATAAAGCAGGAAACTCGTTTTGTGGTATAGCATTTTTTATTAACAGCTTGACGCGAAAGGAGGCCCTGGATTTTCTCTGCATATTATAATGCTGATACTTTGCTTTAGGATATTTTGAAAGGATGCCAACTGTAAAATGAGAGAAAGAAAGAGAGTAGATTGATTTGTCAGCTCAGATGACACCTTTATTGGCGGTTGACACCAGCAGCTGTGCTACATACCTTGGTACTGTTTGATTGACCTCTGTTATAGTTTTTCCAAAATTACGACTTGGAAAGAGAAGTGAGAAGTGGAAGAAGCTGGTGCACGCCTATTCATGATATGATAAATATTCACTCTCTAATATAGTTATATTTGCTAGTGAGGCATCTGGGTGTGAATTATGCACAAGCTACACAGTATCAAGGAAAACAAAAGAAAAGGATATATCTTGAAACTAGCATTTTAACTGGAGAATAATGGATGGTTGACGTTATGGATATGGTGAGAATTGAATGTTTTATATCGTACAAAAAAGTTCAGAGATAAATATATTTTCACATAACTCATTAAAAAAACATTTTACTTATACATAAATTCTACAGATCTGGCGTTGGTCAAAGATAGATGACTGGGTGCCTGAGCTGTGACAGGTCACACTCAAAGCAGAGGCTCTTTCAGTTTTTTTGCCTCAATAATTGCACTGAAAAGAATTAAATGTTTCAGTGGTGAGTTCTCTGTATTGAAGTGCCTCTTCAACATGAATGGAGACACTCAGTGAATAGCTGTGATGTCAGCAATATCTTACAGTCTCTTCAGAACATCAAAAGTGATATTTACTATTTATTTATAATGAAAGCCACTTCGTTCAGTGTATTAAGCCAACATGTGCTCTTCAATTTGGATCAAGATCAGATGGAATGTGTATAGAGTGAAGGGGATATAAACACATCAAACATTCTGCTTCTACCTTTGTTAAGGTGCAGATGTGTGGCATCTAATCTAATAGCCACAGGGTCATTCTTAATCTATTATATGGTGATGTTTGGACAAATTTTCCTGTCATGCTGGTATATTAATGTTGTGGGTTCTGTTTGTCAGCAACACAAAGGAAATGATGTTACAAGTTTTTTTTTCATGTTTGTGTGGACCTAACATCATCTTTGCTAAATACCATATTAGTGGCACTGTAAAAAAAAGATTTGGTATTTTCTTAAAATTTTTTACCTTTAGGCAGAGGTCATTGGATTTAGAAAAAAATCTGTGGAGGTGTACAATGAAATCTATGCAAAGTTTGTGGTACATACAAGGGTTCATTAAAGTGAAAAAAAATACTGATAAAATAAAAGGATGGTGATGTATAATCCTTGCATGTATTTTGTATATGAAAAGCTCTTGTCACCATTAGTTTAGTAAGAGAACTCCTCGTGCTTTTTAATCTCTCATTTTGAACTANTCGGAAAGTGCATCCGCCAAATAACAACGAGAGCGTAAACATGCACGGCAGTGTAAATTTGCTCGCCATCTTTGCAAATCTAACGGACGGGGATATTGAAATTGATATTACTGTCTATTGAAGCTACAAACTGCAATATAAATACTCACGGTGCTTCACTGCATATTCCTTAATCAGCTCCTCTTGTCTTTTGACGAAATTCTCCGGATACAATGAAAAAAACGCGACTAAAGCGGGACCTTCGTTTCACTCTGCCGTAAACAAGCTACCTGGTCATTTGAAAACGAGGCTCGCCGTACCAACCCGAAGGCATCATGAGACGCGCGCCGCGGGAGACTCCCTTTGAAGTTTGAGCCACTGTCTTATCCTCTTTATTTTGGATCCTAGTTTTGAACAAAGACATTAGGTAGTAGCAGGACTGATATATGTTCCCTCTACTCTGTTCAACCTGACATAGATTCCATGTACATGTCATGTAATCCATTAACTTTTCAGTATTTTTTGTATTTATTTTACATACGAACCCTCTATCATTTATTCTATATGCATTGTTCAAAATCTGTTACCACTTGTCATTGAGTTAATGAATGGATATTTAGGACAATGTTTTGGTGTAAATCATTTTATATTCAAATGCTAATGTAAGGTGAGCGGTAACTGATACATATCTTGAGTAATACAGCAAAAATGCATGTTTCTATAGCACAGGAAGATGTATGAAAGGACAGCATATGCAGGGTTAGTGGCACCTTTACAGGAATGGAAAGTGTGAAATGCAGATGCTGCCTAAAGATAGAGCTTCCCTTTTCAGTGATGCTTTACTGGATGAGGCTGTCATAATAGAACTAGTTGCCATTTGTGTTACAGTCTGTGGGTTAACTTATTTCACTGAAGGACATTGCAGTCATGACTGATGTAATGCTTTTGGTATGCTGGTAATGACAATCATTAGTATTCAGCCTGTTCTCATCTTCACAAACAGGGAAAGTGATGATCAATCTTCACATTGGTGTGACAGCGCCATGGCAACAGCATAGTCAGGTGACCTATACGTGCACCTTATTAGCCTGATGCTGTATCTTAGAATTATTTTTTCAGTTTGTGTTCAGAAGACATGGCGTCCACAAAATAAGATGCTTTGCTGTCATTTTTGTTACAGATCATTTGTAGGGCTGCCAGAAAAATGGAGGGCGCTAAGGTATTGGAGGACATAGTGTAATACTGATGATGCAGCCTGTGTTCTGGCGGGTATAAAATATATGGCTACCTCAAGATCATCAATCATTGTTCACCTTTTTTATCTCTGCCCTTGAATTGTTGCAGGTGCTGATTTGCTGTTGCCATGGATTCCAACAAACGATTGGAGGAAAGTGACGAGGATTTTCGCAAACGGCTTGTGGACAGTCTAAGCCAGAGTTTCCCAGATAGTGCATTATCCAAAATGCTGAAGATTTGCAATGCTGCTAATTCAGCTCCAGATTCATGTGATGAATTAGAACTGGGAGACTTGGATCCACTGGCAAAAAGTTGTTTTGCAGAAATCCGTTTGGATAAGGGCCCCATTGATGAAGATGACGATGATGATTTGACTAGTTTAGCCTGGCTCCAGGACTCAAACCTGCTGAAGGATATTGCCGGTGAAGCAGATTTGGAAGATATCCCAGAGACTCAGAAGGAAAATAAAGAAGGAGAAGTAAATGGCAAGGAAGTCAGTGGACAAGTTCATCCTCCAAATGTGCCCTATAATCCTCAAAAACATGTAAACAGTAAACCACCTTACTCTTTCAGCTGTCTGATATTCATGGCAATTGAGGACTCACCGCAGAAAAGGCTTCCAGTAAAAGACATTTATAACTGGATTCTAACACACTTCCCTTACTACCAGAATGCGCCAACAGGATGGAAGAACTCTGTCCGTCATAATTTATCCCTCAACAAATGCTTCAAGAAAGTGGAAAAAGAAAGGGGACAGGTTTGTATTCAACATATATTCCTTCTCTCTTACTTTCTGAACTATAACAGTCACCTTATTTTTATGAAAGCTTAAAATAATCTAAATCTTTGGTATCATAATTGGTTTTATTAATCTATTATTTATTGTTAAAAGAAAGTAGTAATAACAGGAAATAATCACCAAACTAAATTTATAAAGGCGTTCCATAGAATGACCATATTAAATAGTTTTCTTTGATTAATACCTGGCTCATTGTTATCCTGTGACAATAATCCGCCTAAGGTCAGCCGGAAGGGTATTGTGTACCTGAGGTAAATAGTCCATGAGGTAAACTTTTAAAACCAGATTCATAATAACTCGGGCATATGACAGATATCTGAAATATTATACTATTTGACAGGATGGAAATATGACACTGTGCATTGTAGTACAAGGGGAAATCTTCTGTTATTGAAACCCACTAGGTTTGTAGAACAGTTGAGGTGCATTTTTTCTCTATCATATGTCACTCCTTTGATATTTAGGTTGTCTTCAAATTAGCATAGGGCAGGCATTTCACAGGCCTTCCCAACTACCAGACTCGGCACCTACGGGTCCAGAATAAACCGGTATATCTGACCACACTACCCGTTTTCAAGGTGTGTGTCAGATCGCATAAAAGAGTATCATACCCTATCACAAATTCTGTAAGCCTACCTGTCATCCGGGTATCGCGCCTCGTTTGCGTCAAGTAGGAGTCGTATGAATACAACAGACGAATCCCTCAATCAGGGGGTGGAAACGCGCGACTTATATGATTAAGACGAGCCTAGCCGTCAGTACAGGTTATNAACTGTAAATGATTAAAAAGCCTTAAAAAGAATGTTGTTTCAACCATTGAAATATATTTAGTGGCATCCTTAGTTGAAATTGTCCTTTCATAATCCTTATTTTTATATTCTGAACAAAGGCACAATTATGGTAGTTATGGTACAAGGTTAAGAAGAGTTTAACACACTTGACACAACGCACAATGTCTCATCAATTAAATTAATCCATATTTCACAGATTTAAAAGAAGCTTGAGTAAAATTGCCAATCACATGTCATGACATCCACATCCTTTCCCACGAACTGGCAACTAAAGTGGTTCCTTTTTTTATGGCAGGATGTTTCATTACTGAAAAATTTTCAATATAAATTCCTTTTGGCACTTTTATGCTTTATCTGTATTGGGTTTGTTCCAAAAGAGGCTTATTTGCCACAAGCATCACCCTGAAATGGCTTAAAAAAATTCTGGTCCTCTTTCCATCTTACCAAAGCTTAGCTTTTAAAAAGGTTAGACTCTCCAAGAGCCTGAAGTAAAAAATCTCCATATCCAATAAAGAACTGTTAGGGGTCAATATTGGTTGGAAAACACTAAGTAGTATAGAGTTCTCCAAAAGTAAGGTGTTTTTATCACAGCATAGCAGCTTTAACAGTACTTGTATGTCTTGGATTCAACCAGTTATTAATTTTTTATGGTCCTGCAGTTTTCCACCACCCTAACTTGCATTTAATAAGTATCTGACCGTAGTAGTGATATATTACGATGAAGCATTTTGCTTTATCTATCATGGTTGTCTATTTCTACTGTTGTTGATTGATGACACTTTTGTTTAAACATTCATGAGTGTCATTGTTCCAACTGAATGTTGACTTTGTTTCTGCAGCCATGTTGTTTGTTGTAACTATGGAAAACATTGTTAGTTGCAGTTTGTGTTTCCTGCTGATTAAGTATGGCAAGTGGTAGCAGCTTTGCTCTTTACTTATGTAGAAAGGAACTCACAAGTGTTAGTTATTATGCCTTGGCCGTTTGACGACATAAATGAGGCAAAAGCAAAAATGAAAATATATGGGAATTGTGTGAAAAAAATTGAAAGATAAGGGTATGAATTGCTGACTTCAAGCTGTTGGATCAAATCAAGTTGACTTGAACTCTGGTTTTAAATTTGGAACCCACCCAAGCGGTTCTGGCCCCGTGACCTCTCCTGGAGATTGGGTTACCTTTCAGAGCAACTGTTGAAAAATGATGAAAACTAGTGATGGCCATCAGTCAGGCATTGTCATGTTAGGGAGGATCTTATTTATGTCATTTGCTATGTCAGGTTTTGCGACCTTTTCTATCTTATTGTTTTTTATTTGTGTTAAAAATAAATCTTGGTGACATGAACAGATTTAGGATGTTAATAGGGAAATATTTTGTCTTTGGAAATCTTTCTTGCAGTTTATTTTGCTTTTCCAAATGCTGTGGAATGGTCTTTGTTGTGTTATGATTGTGTTGAACTGTACTGTGTGAATAGTGCATCTTATCAGTCTTCATCTCCTGCATTTATTTAGTGGCTTTTAACCCAGTTTTGAATTAAATTACTGTGACAGTTCAGCTTGATTTCTCATGTGGATTTGACCTCACATATTTGGTCCGTGAAGTATACATGAGGTTGTGAAATGATAGAGAACTATAGAAGGATGTCAGGGGATATATACATATATATATATATATATATATATATATATATATATATATATATATATATATATATATATATATATATATATATATATATATATAGTTCTGCTAAATAACAGGAATAACCTTCAGAACACGATATGACAGCAGACCTCTTCTTTGTACACTCTTTAATAGACACTCTTGAAAGTTCAGCTACTAGTACATGTACTAAGACTCCACCACTGTTCAGAAAAGCAACAGCTGGTCTGTTATCTCTACAGAAGTAGGATGGGCAAAAGACATCTTTGGCTAACAGGTTCTTGCATGTGCACAGTCCAGTATCCGTACAATATAGGCCACTCTTACCAGGCATTATTAATTTGGACCAAATGACCCCTTGTTAAGGATGCTGACCCATAGAGAGAATGATGAGCATTATGATAATTATGAACTAGTTTTATATTTTCTTACCTGGTATGAAGAATGCAAAATAATAGTAATAATTATAATAATAGTGAATAGGTCATGATTGCAAAAGGCAGTTTTATCAAGTGAGATAAAGGCAACCAGTTTCACATGTTACTACCATAGAAAAATTTATTTCCATGTTTCTGCATTTCACAATATCATACCTCGGAACAAATTTTGAGATCAGATGCACTACTTTCCAACCCCTCTGAGAATCATCACTATCACATCGCGTACTAGGTAAGAGTGGTGTCGCCTCTGAAACTTCTGCGTACTGATGCACACCTTGAAAACGGGTATAGTGTTCCGATGTACCGGTGAATTAAGGATCATTCGGTGCCTAGTCTGGTAGTTGGTTAGGCCTGACTAGGTTAAGATGAAAGATGCACTCACTATATCAATCACATGGGAATGACATAAATAATTTGATCTGTAAATATAATTGTCCTCAAATATTATTTTAGATGTATTATGTATATTAATATCAAACTTTGCTCATGGTTTTGTCACATTTGGTATCAAAGGAATAGAATTTGGATGAAAGATGCTCTCACTATAGCAGTCACATGGGAAATAATATAAATAATTTGATCTGTAAATATAATTGTCCTCAAATATTATTTTAGATGTATTATGTATATTAATATCAAACTTTGCTCATGGTTTTATCACATTTGGTATCAAAGGAATAGAATTTGGATGAAAGATGCTCTCACTGTAGCAATCATATGGAAATAACATAAATAATTTGATCTGTAAATATAATTGTCCTCAAATGTTATTTTAGATGTATTATGTATATTAATATCAAATGTTGCTCATAGTGGCTTTGTCACATTCGGTAACAAAGGAATAGAATAGCATGCGTGTAATCTTGAAAAAAAAAAGATCCAACGTCTGTAGAGCAGCACTAATGGACAGGCAGCTTTTCTACTTCAGTATGTTTACTTAGTGCTAGTATGCGAGTATTCAATTAGGCGACCAGGTTCGGATATAGCATAAAAGATGCACTTTATCTAGTATTCACAGGGGAATCCTAGTAAACTGTATGGCTAGAAATTATTACCCAGGGCCCTTTATTTTGCATTTAGCAGCAATTCAGGTAGAACAGGTGATAGATAAATGAAAACAATATACACAACTTGAGTCAGGTTCTTTGATGTTTGGCCGTTTTACACAGCAGATTTCCCAGTGTCCGTGGCAAAAGCTGCTAGTAGCATAGCCCTGTGTTCTCATTCTATACTAAGTGCAAATGGAATTAAGGATAAAATATTGTGAGTTTCCAGAGTGCCTGTAAAGAGGTAAGTGACTGGACAAAGGGACTAGCTGATGAGCACTGGGCCACCTTACACTGCTAACACCACTCAAGTGTACTGCTGGTGTCACACAGGAGTTGCTGACATTTAATAATGTTACTTATTTCCACTGAGACAAAATATATATCTATTGACTGTGAAGTACGTCTGAGGTTTCTTCGTGTCAATGCACATGGAAGTTACAAAAAAAAAATGCTGAGCCTTAGCAGGATATATACACATACATGTGAAATAGGGGCCCTCCTTATTGAAAGGGTTTTACTCTTTACACCTTTACTATTTTCCAAGCCTAATTGCAGTTCAATGTTATCAGGTAACAGGTCAAAAAAAAAAAAAAAACTCTCAGGTGTGAAGACTAAGTCATGCTCTGCTTGTTGTCAGTTTCTGTTAGGCCATATGTAAAGGGCAGGTTGGAGGCTGTGCTGGTCTACCACCAGTCTTTTAGCCACCGTTGAAGGTTTTTTGATAAAAGAAAATCAAAATCTGATGAACTAATACCAAAAATGTACTTAATTTGTTGGATAATTCTTTTTAATTTAATTGTTCAATTGTAATTATAAATGTGTGCATTTTTGAGCATATGCTATTGAAATTAGATTTTTTTATGTGTGTGTGTGTGTATGTGTACGTGTGTGTGTGTGTGTGTGCATATATTCATCTTCTGTTTTGAATTTTTCTTTCAGAGTATAGGCAAAGGATCACTATGGTGCATCGACCCAGACTACAGACCCAACCTCCTGCAGGCACTCAGGAAGACCCCATACCACCCTTACCACCAGCTACAGATGCTTGCCAACCCCCCAGTCACCCAGACATACTCATACTCTGTTCTTCCAGGGTAAGGATTGATACATAAATGCTTGGCTCACCAATAGGATTTAAAATTGAGTTTTTTTTTCTGCTATTAAGTTGGTTTTATATGCCTTTACCTCCTCTCTTCGGCTTCGGTTTTTCAGTTTTCTTCTTAAAAACGTTAATCTAACTGGCCCCCCCCCCCCCCCCC